AAATGAGCATACAGAGAAGTTAGCAAAGAAAATGTTTACTAGCAAGAATGCAATAAAATTTTGGACTAATAGAGTTAGACCTAACATAAAAGCAAATTTGAAGGAAAATGTGTTTGTGCTGAGACAATGGAGGTTATTCAACATTCTGTCCATACTTTTCAAATATTAATTGGACAAGTTCGTGTTACTGTGAATCTTACATTGAGAGAATGTGCTTGTTGTGCTTGGCAAGTGTTTGGTATACCATGTCCGCATGCATGTGCATGCATTAAACATATGAATGGTAATGTTTACAGATATATTGAAGAATACTACTTAAATACAACACAAGAAAAGATATATAATAAGATAATGGCTCCAATTAAAATACATGACATGCCAAAGTTGAATGAGTTGCAGTATAGTGATTATCAGAATGAGACTTTTTTGTGGCCCCAATCACAAGTTGTCGTGCTAAGAGACCATACACAAGTAGACAAGAATTCCAATTCCAAGATAAGAAAATGTATAAATGTTCAAGGTGTCACTAGGAAGGGCATACTCGAAAAAGGTGCCAGAACCCAGATCCTTATTGACCCTGCCTTCTTCAAGTATACTATTAAAACACCCCGATCAGTTTTTTTTATATATATTTTGGTTTATGCATAGTTTAAGTTGCTGGCCCTCTTATATATTTTGGAATAGGGGCTTAATAATGTGCTATATAGTCTAAATTGCTAGTCCTCCTTTGTATTTTGGAATAGGGGTATAATGAGGTAGTATATGCATTATGTTATTAATCTTACTAATGTTATTTTTGTTGTAATAGGGTATCATCTGTTCTAACTCATTGTAAAGAACATACACTCTAGGTTTGGGGTAGGTCCTGCATAGTTCGGGATTATTGTGACATGTGAGAATAGAATCCCTTTCTCTCTCTCCTTCTCTAGCCTAACAATTTTATAAATCTTCTCATCATTCCAATATTGTAGTGCATCTTCAATTGATGGAACATCTTCACCGTCTAATGAAAACATTTGAAATAGCATTATCTGCCACCAAACAAAAGGTATTAATGATATATGATAATCATAATTTTCAAAGCACTAAGTTATAATACTTACCATCAAAAAATAAATACAACCACCAATATATTTGCTTCCTTCTCTGTTGTTTAATGCATTCTTGTATTATCCAACCTTCTTCATCAATTTATTAACCAAAAAATTGCACCAATTATAAGAACCTAGATCTATCTTATCATAGCAAATCATTCTCAATAATTGTGGGCTCACATTTCCATTTACAGGAGGATATAATAATGTCCCCAAGGTGTATAGAACCAAGATTGACTCTATTTCTTTATGTCAAATAACCTTTCACCCTCAAATTTCTCCCTCAATCTTTTATATAATTCACTTTCTATATGAGATTCGTTTAAGACCTCCTTTCCTTGATTTAGTAAGCCCATTACTATTTATACATCCTTCCTTTTTATTTTTTGCACATAATTCCTAATACATATAAACATATAATGGGATCAATTGCTCTAATCAATTCACAACAATGTGCATGATATATCTGTGCAAGTAACTTGTAATATCTGACCAAAGCCACTGTCATTAGCCTTAGCCCTTAACCTTTCATTCTTTCTCACATGCTTTGCTACTTCTACAAATTGTGTTGGTGAGTATCATGTTCGCAACTCTCCTTCTTTAATGGAAGAGGGACCTGCATTACAATCTCTTTCCTCCTTTGCTTTTCTTATATATCCACTCTTCTTTTCCTTTGATAACTTCTTCCATGCCTTTCTAAGATTTTCATTTGCTTTTTGTATTATGTTAAACTTCAATTTCTTTTCTTTTTTTTGTCTAACTAATAATTTTGCTTAAACAAATGTAGTTTAATGACTCTATTCCGTGCTTTCTTCTTTCCTTCTCTTTTTAACCATGCTTCCTCCAAATTTATGTAGTCAAGATATATCTATAGGCTAAATCATTTGAAATATCCATTGGACATAAAAACCATGTCAAATAAAACACAATATAAATATCAAAAATAATAATTAAATAATAAAACAATTAAAACTTGAGAATGAACTAGCTATTAACTTTACGATTTTCCACAACCTTTCTTCAATCTTTTCAGGTTTTTGATTTGCAGTTCATCTTCATAAGAACAAGCTTAAATATATCTATGTATTACACAAACATAAAATGCCAGTCCCAAAATAATTGAATACACAAACCAAAAAAATAAAGACGGAACAAGCAAAATGTAGTCAACAATGTGCAGACAAATTAAAGGTGAAGTCTTTTTCTAATCAGTCTTCACTGATTCTTTCATCATTCTAATCTCACGTTGCAGCAAGAAAAAACAAGAATTTATTTGGTGACAAATAGTAAACTGATTTAGTTTCCATTAGTTATATATATATATATATATATATATTTGTTGTAATAGGGTATCATCTGTTCTAACTCATTGTAAAGAACATACACTCTAGTTTGGGTAGGTCCTGCATAGTTCGGGATTGTTTGTGACATGTGAGAATAGAATCCCTTTCTCTCTCTCCTTCTCTACCTAACAATTTATAAATCTTCTCATCATTCCAATATTGTAGTGCATCTTCAATTGATGGAACATCTTCACCGTCTAATGAAAACATTTGAAATAGCATTATCTGCCACCAAACAAAAGGTATTAATGATATATGATAATCATAATTTTCAAAGCACTAAGTTATAATACTTACCATCAAAATTAAATACAACCACCAATATATTTGCTTCCTTCTCTGTTGTTTAATGCATTCTTGTATTATCTAACCTCCTTCATCAATTTATTAACCAAAAAATTGCACCAATTATAAGAACCTAGATCTATCTTATCATAGCAAATCATTCTCAATAATTGTGGGCTCACATTTCCATTTACAGGAGGACATAATAATGTCCCCAAGGTGTATAGAACCAAGATTGACTCTATTTCTTTATGTCAAATAACCTTTCACCCTCAAATTTCTCCCTCAATCTTTTATATAATTCACTTTCTATATGAGATTCGTTTAAGACCTCCTTTCCTTGATTTAGTAAGCCCATTACTATTTATACATCCTTCCTTTTTATTTTTTGCACATAATTCCTAATACATATTAAACATATAATGGGATCAATTGCTCTAATCAATTCACAACAATGTGCATGATATATCTGTGCAAGTAACTTGTAATATCTGACCAAAGCCACTGTCATTAGCCTTAGCCCTTAACCTTTCATTCTTTCTCACATCACATGCTTTGCTACTTCTACAATTGTGTTGGTGAGTATCATGTTCGCAACTCTCCTTCTTTAATGGAAGAGGGACCTACATTACAATCTCTTTCCTCCTTTGCTTTTCTTATATATCCACTCTTCTTTTCCTTTGATAACTTCTTCCATGCCTTTCTAAGATTTTCATTTGCTTTTTGTATTATGTTAAACTTCAATTTCTTTTTTTTTTTTTGTCTAACTAATAATTTTGCTTAAACAAATGCAGTTTAATGACTCTATTCCGTGCTTTCTTCTTTCCTTCTCTTTTAACCATGCTTCCCTCCAAATTTATGTAGTCAAGATATATCTATAGGCTAAATCATTTGAAATATCCATTGGACATAAAAACCATGTCAAATAAAACACAATATAAATATCAAAACTAATAATTAAATAATAAAACAATTAAAACTTGAGAATGAACTAGCTATTAACTTTACGATTTATCCACAACCTTTCTTCAATCTTTTCAGGTTTTTGATTTGGAGTTCATCTTCATAAGAACAAGCTTAAATATATCTATGTATTACACAAACATAAAATGCCAGTCCCAAAATAATTGAATACACAAACCAAAAAATAAAGACGGAACAAGCAAAATGTAGTCAACAATGTGCAGACAAATTAAAGGTGAAGTCTTTTTCTAATCAGTCTTCACTGATTCTTTCATCATTCTAATCTCACGTTGCAGCAAGAAAAAACAAGAATTTAATTTGGTGACCAATAGTAAACTGATTTAGTTTCCATTAGTTATATATATATTTTTTCATTTAACAGCAAAAAGCACCTTCAAGTTCAAAAAAGCATTACATATATATATACACACACACATATCACCAATTTGTGCATTCTTCAAATAAGCAATATTAAGCTAGTAGACAATGACTTCAGCAAAATTATTAAACTGGTCAGATCTCCCATGGACCCAAAAAATTTTAAAACCCATCAATGTTACTCTCTTTAACAATATATGGATTTACTACCAGTCTGTGCTTCCTAAGGCAAAGCAGGGGAAAACCAAATGGAAATTATTGCAACAATACGAAGACGAGAAATCAAGAGTTTGGAAAAAAAATTATTGAAGCACCCTTCCCCTGCTGAATGGAAGTGAAAGAAAATGGGAATATAATGACGGATTACCAAGTTTCCGTCTCTCTACTCACCAACGTGAATACGGTGAACTTCATCGCTTGCTGTCGTCTCTATGGCAGTAATGAATCAAACAAAACTCTTTTGCCGTTTTCGCTTGCTCCCCTAATGAATTAGATGAAACTCCTTTGCCGTTTTCACTTGCTCCCCTACCTAGTCGTGCGATCACTTGATCCCTGCTCATCCGTGTTTGACTTGTCCTAATTTCCCTCTTCTACTTTGTCTTTCTTTTAAATTTTAGTTTAGGACAATATAGTAATTTTATCCACATATTAAATCTTCCTTAAGGACCTCAGCTGTTCAAATATTTGCAGGGACCAATTCCCAAATAAATTTCCAAATAGATATTTTTCACCAATTTTCCCATGTTTCTTTTCTTTTCATTTTGGCCTGTACCAGATGTTTCTGTTAAGTTTTAGACAAATAATCATCCAAAGGGAAATGATAAGCAAGTGATTGCAGAATATTTTATTCGTCTTCGTCTCCACTACTTATTTCAGATGCAACATTTTCCACCTCATAATGATATTCGAGACATGTCGAGTGTAATTTGATCAAACATTTACATAAAAAATAGTGCAATTAATAAATATGGAACATAATAACTCAAAACCGAAATATATTGTACAAGACGACATTGGCCAGATAAGTATCAACATCAAGTTTGAATCCTTCCTCCCCAAAATTACTTGTCCTCCCACTGATTATCTCAATCAAGATTAATCTGGACCAGTGTGACTTTTGAAAACCAGTCAAAGTATAATAATCAAAAATAAAAAACTAACGGTGGTAATTAGCCCTGTTTCCTACTTCAGCGAATTCTGTTCTAAGAAAGTTGTCACTAAAAACTACCAAGACTTCGGACACTTCCTAGCAGCTGTGCAAAATCCTAAACAAGGTTTGCAGTTTTCACGGACATAGAACATTTGTAGGCTAGGGATAAGGTTTTATTCACATAAAATTGTCTTCCACTACCTTCCTCAGCTCCTCCAATTTCTGGATAACCTTTGGATTCAACAAATCTCGAGCTTCCCTTATTAGGGTGCCTTCTCCACTCAGATTATAAGCGTCCACCACAGCTTTTATCCAGGTATGAAGCTTCTCAGGAGTCCTACAAACATAAAGTGAACAAGGAAAAGAAGTGATGCCTTAAAGTTGCAATTGCATCATATTTCAGAAAAATTCTATGATTCAAGATTCAATACATACGTGTATAAGGTATCCTCATCAGATCCTTCAAGTTCTTCTCCAGGGGTAAATGCATCTTTGAGGGCACACATTTGCTCCTCGGGATCCTCAATTCTAATAACGTGCTTGATTATTCGAATCTCCTTCGGTACCAGTCTCTGAAGATTACCAACTGCTGTCTTGTATAAATGATATAGTACATCTTTCACCTGCAAGATTTTACACGTCTCAGACACAATTACAAAATAATGTTTGTAAATTACATTTTAGTAATAACTAGAATGCACATCCGAAATAAGTAGAATTCTCAGATGCACAAGATCCCAGAAGTTATCGTATCACCAAAGATTATATTCAAGAAACTTTATTTTCACACATGGAATAAGAGATTTTATAGCTTCATATCCAGCATATTTAGTTTTTAATCCATAAGCAGATGGTGAACAATAGATTAGACCTTTATTCTTACTTTTCCCAAAATCATGGTATTTCATTTGCTTCATCACTGTTTATCACCAACCGAAAGAAGAGAAGAGAAGAAAGAAAAAGACAAAGAATATCAGTTTACAAAATCAACAAAAGCAGCAAGCTTTTATCCCATTAAGTGAATATCACTCCACATAAAGGGCAAAATTTATTTCGCTACGAGTAAAAGGAGATAATAATTCGCTAGGGTGGTAAATTTAGAGGAGAGTTGCTTTTGGGAAAAAATAATTTTTGGAAGGATTAATTAAGAAATAACTACTTTTGGAGGAAGATTACAAGCCTGTTTGAAATAGCTTATAAGTAACTTTTCAATCGTGATTTACGAAATACAAAGTAAGCATGTGAAAAAAATTTTGTTTCAGTTTACGTGAAACGTGTTTATAAGTGATTTCTAGTGCCATAACAAACGAGGCCTACATCTTCAGGAATGTCAACTAAAGAAATTTTACAACAATAGGCATTGTTTCCATAACATGGGGCAAAAATACAGAGTCCAGGGGACCTCTTCACTAGGGGGAAAAGTAACAATGATAATAAAACTAAGGAACACTTTACAATTGTCATAATCATTCAAAACTTTTTAGCCTGTGTTTATAACGCAAGATACATCACATAATAAGGGAAACAGCATTTGCTCAGGTCAATTACCTCATCTTTCATCATATTTGACTCTTTTGCAGCTGACCAAGCTTTGGTGATCATCAATACCAATGTTGAATCAAGTTCTTTCTTCTCAGCAAGAGTATCTATCTTTTTGCAGGCAGCATCCAGAGAAGGAGAATTAATAATATCTTGGAATTTCAATTCTGCAGCATTTAATGCTTCAATGCTCTCAGTTGTCGCATCATATGCTTGCACTGCCGCCAAGCACGTGTTCCCAAGCTTTGCCAGTTCTGGTCACATAATGCACAAAGAAAACTATATGAAACAAATGCCGACGATATGAATGAATCTAAAACGCATCAAATATTAAAATGAATCTTCTCCCAAAGAGTATTATACAGAAGCGTAGTATGTCGCCACAAACATAAGAGACTCAAGTCTTTCTTGCACACTTATGAATGAAGCAAAGAAATCCTAGTGCTAGCAAACAGAATTCCACCCAGGATATTCTGGATAATAATACATCTTCATGACCACTAAATCATGGTCAAATTAAAATCAAACTGCAGGTTCAATATAGCTTTTGGGGAAAAAAAAGGTTCAATATTACTTGTTCTCTTTTAACAATTTAACATCTTAGTTTCAACGGATATAATTATGTGGCTCACCAAGTTTTCATCTCAGCATAAAATAGCAACTCTATCTTAAGTGATATGGAAAAATAAGATATTCTGGACTGATTTTTACTCTTGGCTATCGTTTAATTATCCACCACAAAAGAACATAAGCCTCCATGTTAGAAGAATCAACATTGACTCAAATTATAAAGAAGAATGCAAGTATAACAATTAAGTCTAACCATTTTGCTCTGTCGGGTTGTCATAATAGGACTCTGCTACAGTGTGAAGGTGAACAAAGAATTCTTTGGTGAAGTCTTTGCGACAGCGGGAGACAATTTCATTAATTTCTGATTGTGACTCTTTGATCACTTGAAGAAGTTCATTGTGTCTCTGCACATCTTCATCAATCTGAAAAAAGAACATACTGTGTAGATTGAATGTAATAGCAACCGGAAACATCATACTTATCACTTAGATTCTTGGTACTATATTAGAAGCACAAAATTACCCAAGAGACCAAGAAAATTTAGTTCTTTACACTTGTCTCATTGTCCAACTGATGAAGCAAACAACAAACTTGCATTTTGAAATATTCACACAATCTCTTTCACATTCAAGCAAAATGAGAAGATAACAAAAAGGGAGCTGAGGAATAATACTGTAGTAGTATTTTAGCTGAATTATTATATTTTTCACTGCAATCAAATTCATACACGAAACAAAACAAAAACAAGTCGTACACAGAGAGGCAGGCAAGGAGGCAAGGAGAATTCAGAATTATATGATAAACCTCTTTAAGCTTCCTTCCAAGCCGAAGCAAATTCTGCTTCATCACTGGATCTCTCTCATCATCAGCTCTATCTTGACAACGTGCAAAAAAATGGGGCCTAATATTGTCCCACTCCTTGCTGAAAGCTAACAACCTTCTCCAATCAGTTGGAGTTGGCTTGTCAACCATGAAAACATCAATAAGCTTGTCACAAACTCTAACCATTCGACTGTCATCCAAGCACTGAGCACCATCACTATCACCCCTTTCCTCACCCCTTTGATTAGGCTCATCATGAACTGAGGCAGCTTCAGAAGCATGCGAAGACGATAATCCTTGACAAACACAATCATGTCGCACTTCACTTCTGTCACCAACAACAGAAGTAGTTGGGGATGACTGTGGCCATCTTGCCTGTTTAACCAATAAATTACGGCCTGGAATTCAATATCATATATTAGTTACATGACCTGCCAATTTTACTTCAAATCAACCCCGAAAACAACACCCAAAAAAAAAAAAAAGACACACAAGACCTATAAGAAGTTGAACACTTTTTGTGTAAGGAAGCTAAACACCTTAGTAGAAAAGTAGCTACTTGCCTTTATTACTGAACTTCAAGCAAGAGAGTTGAGTTGGGCTTTTTAACGATAATGGTCGACCAGAATTGAAAGCAGCAATGGTTATAGGAAACCTTAATTGCACAGCACAACATGATTGAAGAATAGCAGTACTTAACTCCATTTATTTGAACTTTTCCCTCTAAAGATTAACAAAAAGCTTAGTTCGTGCTAAAGCAATAGAAACCCGATTTGAATCCAGATATTAAAACCAAGATTAGTCAGCTTGCAAATCCCTCACGACTTAACGAGATGGAGTTGGGCGATAACGAATCCCTAATTTCTACCGGCCAAGGCAACGCGCCCGGCTAGGTTGGCCGCTGGCGGCGGAATCGGGACAGGGAAGAAAAGAAAAAAGTACTTGGAGGAGGGGGGGGGGAGAAATCAGCGATGGAAACCGCTCCTCACAAGATTAATGAAACGTTGCGCATGAGCAACCAATTTTAGAGAAAATTATTTTTTATAAAATTTCATGAACCTTACTAAATTTTTTTTGTTTCAATTAACAATATTTTAACGGAAGTGCATTTCAATAAATGAAATTACATAAATTCCATAAATAAAAATTGTTGGATCAAACAATAATTTTTTCAACTAAAATTGAATCAAACAATAATGATCTAACTAAAAAAAATAAAGTATAAAAATCTGATTCAAAGTTGAGATGAACTACAAGAATTTATAAATTAATTTTTCTTAAATTTTAAAGATGCTTAGATATGAGAAAACTTTCCAAAAGGAAAAAAAAATTCGACAAAATAACAAAAATTCATGTTCAGTTGTTGGCCTTTGCTAAGTTTCTCTCTCTACTTTTTCTTTTTCAATTGCTAAATGAGGCATGAGCGGTCTTAGAGGGACCTGAACTATTAGTAAGTGTGAGAAAAGAAAATTAAGAGGAGGAAAACAAAATAGAGAGAGAAAGGCCCCTAAAAATGACAAAAAATGTTATATACACAGACGTGTTTGTGCCATTTATATGTAGTTTGGAAGTAAAGTGTAAATTTGCTTCAAAAGTTTTCTCATTAGAAATTTTTTTAGTATAAATTTATTTTGAAAATTTAAAATTGTAGTGATTTTATCCAATATGATTAAATATACTAATGTTAACTATTAAAATTTGCTAAAATTTGACTGATGGATGCATTTCTTCTGATGGTCTGATTATGAAGCATGTTTTCTACTGTTTATCTCTTGGACGCAGAAGATTTACCCACATGGCTCCATGTGTTTAGGACCGCCCATTTAGGATCAAATTAAAGTTACCAACAAATGTAAAAAGAGGAGAATTACAAGTGGAGAATATAGAGAAGATAAATAAATAAATGTATGTATTCAAGATAATATTTATAAGGCACTTCCAATAGTTTTTATACAAACCAAGAAAAATCTGTTCTCTATTATATAGGGCATATTGTAAAGGGGGAATGATTTTAAAAAAACTGAAAATTACTAAATATTAAATAAGAAATATCAACAAAAATCTGTTGTCATTTATAAATTTAATATTATCAATATCAAATAAAGTGTAGTTACTAAACCTAATTTAAAATTTACTAATTTTTAGCTTATTTTTTATCATTTTTTTCTATTCTAAATTTTTTTTGGATCCCAAATATAAGTCAATAACTAACTCATTAATGACTTTTTTCTCATTTTACCCTCATCATTAATTATTAAGGCTTGGTGCTTTTTCAATAAAGTCCTCATAACCAGAGATTCGCATTGGGTGCTCATCGGATTTGGACGGTCCAAATCTATTTTTATTTTTATTTTTTTAAAATGATTATTTTAATAGATACAGAATAAAAAAATAAGGATAATATCTTAATTATCATTCTTTAAAAAATAATTTTTAATTTAAAAATATTAAATCTAGATCGTCCATATCTAATCTGGACAGTCCAGATTGCTCATCAGTTGATGAGCGCTGGGTGCTCATCATCATAACCAGTTTTTTTCTATATACATTTTAGTCGGGATAAAATTAAAAAAATTATTAATTTAGGACTAATTTAATGATTCAATCTGATGAAAAAAATAAATGGAAGCTTCTATGATCTGCTCCACGTGAACCTCTACTGAAGAATAAAAATAGAAGGGAGCTAAATAAAAATTTGTTGCAGATTGATTTGCTAAAGAAGGTCCTCTTTACATTTTTTGAAACTTCACAATGTTCTCCCCATATTTACGAGGAAGATTCATTCGAAAAAAAGAGTCATAGACAGACTCAACTCACTCAAGATCTTTGAGGTTAACAATGAAGATGACTTGTAACAGTAGAAAGAATGAAATGTGTTTTTTTTTTTTTTCCATCAATCTCTACATGATTCTCAAACTGTCATTAAGTCGTTGTGAGTTCTAAGCAATCTATCATTTTTCAACATGGATCGGAGGATTCATTAATTTTTTGTAATTACTGACATTTGATTTTAAAACAAATAACACATATAAATGGATATAATACAAGTTAGCTTCCATCAATTTCACAATTTTCAATTCTTTATTCTACATTTTCATATATCATAAGTAAAAATGCATTTGTAACTATGAAAAGATACATGGATAAGAAGTTCTTTAAATTTCACCTCTACAGAAAATTAGAATTAACCAATCTTATTTCAAATAATATGATTTTTTTTTCTAAGCACAAGTATCCTCTTACTAGAAATAATCTTGATCAAGATACTGTCAGATACTGAATATAAACAAATTGGATGAAATTAACAAATTTCATAATCCACTGTTTAATCAAACAGCAACAAACCATATTTCAAGCATAACTGCTACTTTACTCAAGCAATTTTAAATTAAAGAAAGTTTATATGTAAAATTTACAATAACCACCGTTATTCCAATAAAGTCTTCATTAAGCTATAAACAAAATCGGATGCTGTCTTCGCGCTTTGTATTGAGCCCCAAAAAGGCATATAAAAAGTACAAATTTCCGAGAAATCACTCCTCCCAAATTTTTCCAATTGATCCATGACTGATGACAGTGATTGACAATTATCTAATCTTTATTGAGTTGATTTTTATCCTAAATATAAGACATATTTCTTATATTTATCAATTTTTCTCAAACTATCTCCATTGATATTCACTCAGCTATGATCAAGTAAGAAAGAGAGAGAAAATATTAAGAAGGATGATTATAGTGTTTTAGTAAAGATATGTTATATTTTTATAATTAGTTAACTTACCTAAAATTTTTAATTTAATCAAGTTAGTTAAATATAGCTTATATTAAGAACCAAAGCAATATAAATGTTTGAACCTGAATTGGGCAGGGCCAAGTTCAAAACCAGCCCAATGGAAAAGAGGGAAAGAAAATTGAAGCCCATTAAAAGAGAGCCAGAGCTTTGTTGTCCATTTGATACTTATCTCAACTCAAGGCTTTCCAAGCAATTCTTTTGTTCTATACATTTGTTTTCTTTAAGCCCCAACAAAAGTACATTTTGCTCTGCCAACAAGAGTTGAATCTAGTGAAAGGGACTAGTCCCTCACAACGTGGTAAACTAAGATTTTATTCCCTGTTAGGAGAGGTACCTATATTTAGTACCCGACAGTGTCTTGAATAGGATTGCCTCCTATTAGAGGATACCTATGCTTTAACCCAAAAAAAAAAAAAGTACATTTGCTCTCCACCATTATTCTATTTTGTTCAATATTCAGTGTATTTTATTTCAAATTCCTTGGTATTGATTTTCCATTTATCTTGAGAAACTAATGTAAAAAAACCTAAGAACTCAAGTACTCAGCCATCTTTCAGACTCTATCATTGAAATTATTGGGTCATTGGTCCATATTATGTTTTTCTCAGACTATTATCCTGAAGTTTTCTTTTTTCCAAAATTGTTATATCTTGCAGCATTGTATTCAAGGTGCTATATTGGAGCTCTCTGCCTCAAATGAGCAGTTTTAGATTCTTGGGTCATTGGTCCATATTATGTTTTTCTCATACTATTATCCTGAAGTTCTTTTTTTTCCAAAATTGTTATATCTTGCAGCATTATATTCAAGGTACTATATGTAGGGAATTGAAAGACGACGCGCAGCGGAAATCAACTTAAAATTTTAAAACTTTCAATCCCTTGCCCGGATCTACCGATCGCGTTTAAGTCAGGTAGTAAGAAGCATTACCTTCGGTGTTTGATTTCCTGGTGACTCGATGATTCGGCCGTTCAGGATGCTTCTGCTCGCCTCCTTTGTCGTTCGAAGTCGACAACTCCGGTCGGCTTCCTCTACCGGTATCCACACGAGTAGCCCTCAACCTCGAACGGCGTGCTAGCGTCTATGTCCGTCTAGGGTTTTGAAAATCCGTCCTCTCTCCTCACTTTTGGCCGTCCCTTATCTCCTTAGTGCTTTCACTCTCACTCTTCAAACCCTAGCTCCCTAATATCGAATATATAGGATGCTATAGGTATTGTGAGTGATATTTTAATTTCGAAATTAATCCCAAATTAATTCCGAAATTAATACAATATTAAATATTGCATAATTAGATAAGAGAACAATTAAATAAATACGGTTTATATTAAATCCGTCTCACAGATTTAATTCACCTATTTATCTAATTCAAAAATAAAGATATGACGGAATTAATTTACATAGATCTAATTTATCCTTATAAATTAAATCTAACAATTAATATCTCTTATATTTATATATAATATATATACGAATATATATATATACACGTCCACCCTATTTATTCATTGAATCTGGACATATCCTAGATTCAATGAATCTGGACATCATAACTCGTGTTGGGCTATTTTGTGTGCGACCCTATAGGCCCATATGAAGTTGGCAGTGGGCCATTAACTATAATGACTCACAAGTCGTAAGCGGTCTCTAGCAAGACATCACGACTACCCAAAACATATGAGGATCATTGAACGATGCAACCTTTCATACAACCATATCGCGTTCCTTTTGTCACACGACATTTTGGTCATGGACGAGGCATGGAGAACGTCATCCTCCTATTCATGACCGTTACTTTCTCGATCCCTGAGTAGTCTGAGTATAGAAATGGAACTACCTTTCCATTATAGTATGGCCATACATTTCTCAGACTCACTCATCGAGGGGCCCAGTAATGTCTCTCTACGAATGTGAGGGACAAATTCCATCTTGACCATCTACATTCCTCCGCATGAAAAACCACTAAGCCTGAATATAGTCTTTATGATCACTCGGTCAAAAGTGACTTTTGACTAGGTCAAAGCTAAGCATTTCTCATGTAGGAATCCATGATGATCTCAGGTCAAAGGGCACAGTGACATGGTTTGTATATGAGAGAAGCTTATGACTTAACCCATGCAGCTCTCTCATAGCGGGTCGGTCCAACACCTTGTA